GCTGCAGAAATCATGCGTTGAACGACTGCATGGAAGAAATCAACGGTGCTCTTAATTTACAATGGTTAGCTGACTCTTTCTAAACCGATAGAATTCAGAAGCTTTGTCAATTTCTTATCTGGGTTCTGCAGACATTGGGGACATCGCGAAGGTAGATCGTAGATCGATATGTTTGATCCAAATTTGAAGACGAAAGTTTGATTGTGTATAGAGTGGTCAACAATGTGCATTAACATGGCCAAGCCATGTTTGCCTGAAAACGTTTACCATTCATTCAGAATCCATTAGTGATGCAATTCATGTAGCGTGTTTTCAACATGCTCGCTCGCAAATTTTAGCAGCAAAAACCTCGACACCAGGCGTTGCAGTACTGGTAGTCCGCGGAGCGTTAGTCCAGTAGTAGCATTCAGCCGTGGCTCACCGGTGAACGAAAATGATGACACTTGCGAACTGATTACCTTTAAACGCACTAATCGGCTAGTTACACAAGTTATGTGGCTTAATTTTGAGCATGCGCGCTCGAAAATTTTAGAAACGCAAGCCTCGACTCCAGGCGTTGCAGTCTCCGTAGGCCGCGCAGCGTCGGTTTAGCAGCGAATATTAAGTTGTGGCCAACGGGTGAACGAAAATGAAGACGCTTCCTAGAAAGTATCCTTGGACGCTTCATGACATCAAATCTTGTATTTAAATGGCGGTCTGAGGGCATATTTCAAGTGTGCAATTTTTAGATTGATGAAAAGAACGGATTGACCCCTAAAGTACCGCGAAGTGGGGCTGGAATCTGGTGGTTGAGCTGGAAGAGTGGAGGAAAAACCACTATTTTTCGTGTTTCCACAGCTATCTATCTGTCCAGAAGACAGATTAACACGGCGCCCGCCGTCTGGTGGCACTTGCAGTGGCCGGAACTTATCGGTTCTACGGAAGTTGTAACCCAGACCATCCTTGTCTTTGCTCTCGAGGTTTCGGGCAGGCATGTTGAAGTCTTTTGATATAATTTGTTTCAATAATACATTCTGAAATAATTGAGCGTTCTCAGGCAACCATGGCATGACCTTGCTCGCTTTTTAATTATTTTCGACCCGCGCTATTAAACAATAATGAGAGCCCCATTCTACTCAACAATAATGAGTCCCATTACCCCCTTCCGGGCAAGGGGCCTCTTGAGTAGAGCACCAGGGGTACATTACCGTTTCCGGTCAAGGGCTGAGTGGCCATTCCGTCCCATTGCGAAGTGTCTTCTGGCTATCATTCTGGTGGCACGGGGCGGGATCTCCTGGTCGATCCGGAGGTCATTAGAAGGATACATCATATCATATTGTTCCCATCCCTGACACGAGAGGCCTTGTGATCCGCCCAGCTAGCCCCGGATCAGCACAGGGACCCTCAGTGGCGCAACAATATCCCTGAACACCGCAGGCAGTCTGGTAGTTTTCACACAGACTCCAGTTCCGTGCTTTTCTGTGTTCTTCAGATATATTGAGTTCTCCCTGACTGTAACTTGCAGATGAAATGGGGTTCATAATTTGTATTAACATGGCTAGCCCATGTTCATCTTATAATGTTCAAGATCCTTCCAGAGCTGATTACTGATAAGAAAACCACGTAATATGGTGTCAAACATGCGTGCCCGCAAGTCATAGCAATAACAGCCTCAACGCCCGACGTTGCAGTCTCCAGGCCGTGCGGCGTCGGCCTTGCGGCTGTAACACTAAGTGATGGCCAATGAGCAAACGAAAAAGATGACGCATCTTAGGGGAGATGGCTAGTGAACTATGTAAATCGGGATGCATGTTAAATGCAATACAAAAGTAAGCCAAATGCAGCCTTAATGTGAGAAGTGGGTTGGAGGACAGTTAACATTGCTGCCCCCCCCCCCCACCCTTAAAAGTGGGGGCTATGGCCCCCTGCCCCCCGTCCCTTCCCCTGTTCCTACGTCCATGCTTTGCGGTGCTGGCAGGCCCAATCCACTCTAATCTATCTAGAAGTCGCACAGGTGTGATATGCGTCCAAACATCCTTCTAAGTGTAAGATATGATATTATCAAGCGTTCAAAGATACTTCATCCAGAAGCGTCACCATTTTCGTACACCAGTTGGTCACGGCTCGGTGTAAGCCACTGCACAAACGCTGCACGGCCTATGGAGACTGCAACGCCAGGTACCGAGGTTATTTGTTGCTAAGATTTGCCAGCGCATATGTTCAAAACTACGTTACGTTATTTGCATCACTAGTCGATTCAGACTGAATGTTGAACATTTCCAGAAAAACATGGCTTGGACATGTTAATACACATTGTTGGCCCATTTCTATCTGCAATATGCCTTCAAGTGGTCCTTAATGTGCCTTTCAAACCCAGATCAAAATTTGGCCAAGCCCTGACCTTTTTTCGGTTTAGAATGAGTCAGTTGAACCATTGAAAAATAAGAGTGCAGGTGATTCATTTAAGGCGGGTCTTCAGTGCCGATTTCTACAGTTTATTCACTTCAAAATGCAAACAGAATTGATCTGGCAGTAGCTTCCGGCCTCTGTTTCTGCTCTGGTTGCAAGGTAAGGGTATGGTTAAAACGAAGAAAATCTGTTCCTTCCTAACAAGTAAGCTGTATCCGGCGATTTTTGGGTGGGGTCACCAGCAGGGAAATTTTGTCAACCTTATGCCCCCTTCCTCTGGCAAGGTTCTGACTATTCTCCTCCCCACAAAAGCAGATCAAGTCGGTACGTTGAATGAGAGGCAACTGAATGTTCGTTGGACTGGTTTCTGAAGCGGGCATCTTAAAAGCCTATTTTCTTCTGTGGTGTGACGTAATGGAAAATAATTCGGAAAAAGATGCTATTGCAGGAGTCCAGTACAAGTCATTCATGCCATCAAATAGTAACGCTAGTCCGTAACTATGCAGCAAAGCAGCCATACGACCATTTGGCAGATCAGTTAGTCATGCGGGATACAGCCGAGCCAGAGCAGTGGGCGCCGACGGTAGACGGGAGCAGGACTCAGATAAGGGGTATATTACAAAACGGCCCTCATTCTGTGGCTTGATTTTTACCACAAAAAGTCCAGTTTGCTGGTTTTTGTCACCTTATGCTTTTAGCAGTCGGTATATGAAGCATTCGAATCTGCTTCTGCCTAAAAGGTCGCGACAGATCTTTTCCCTTAAAATGCAGCCGCCGAAATCTAAGCGCATGACAACCTTGGTGTATTGTGAGCCATCGATATGCATTCAAAATTCTCACCAGCCCATTTCCAAGTTACATTCTGACATCTACCTTGTGGAGGTAGATGCCCCCTCACTGACCGGGGGCATCTGTTTTTTTTTTTTTAAGGACGAATTCCCGCTCACTCGTGGGAATTCGCCCTTCCCTGGGAAAAAATATTGAAGTTGACGAATAGCCTTGGGAAACTGGATAGCCTTCTTTGGCGAATGGTGTAGATGAGACTGATAGGCAAGATTGTGCATCGATGAGAAACGTTTATATATGTACATGTAGCGTGTAAGCAGCCGTGTCATGTAGTTATTTCCAAAATATGCTAGGTGAACTAAGAGCGGACAATAAACACCATATCTAATTTCCTCCCTCCTCCGGTCACTGGGCATGGTTCTCAGAAGAAAAAAAAATCCTGAAGTATACCCTGAGCCTCCCCCCACACGCTTTTTGGGACGTTCCTACGGCATATACATCGGCGTGACTGCCCATATGTTTAAATACTGTTGCTAGAAAGTGCATGTGACCAGCGGGCTGATCAGGTGCAATTTTATGGCAAATATGATGATCTGCTTTGCAAGCCTAGGCGGCAAGCCATACAATGTAAATGCATGAAAAGTGAAGACATACACAGGAGACTTATTCGCAGTACGATAGAAGGAACGTCGAGCTGTCTTTATACCCATCACGAGCAGACTGTACGGTGCGGATGCATGTGACCAGCCAGCAGATTGCGGAGACTTAATGAAGATTATGATGAGGTGCGTGACAATCTGAAGCGGTAAGCCATTACAATGCACTTCGACCTTATACCGCCACGCACCACGTGGTCGTGGCTCCACTGGTGGCGCCAATGAGTGGCGAGCGTGGTGGGTCTGTTGTCTGCTGCAGTTCGTTCCTTGCGTTGGGTGCGTCAGATGCGTCGCGCTCGGTCCGCGCCTCTCTACACTCCAGTGTGTTAGGTCTGTACCTGTTTACGGCGCCGGCCGTGCTCGGTTCGTACCTGCCTACATTACGGTGTTCTCGGTTTGTAATTGTCTTTGAGGCCGGCCATGCCCGGTCCGTAGTCTGTACCTGTGCGTGGGCCGATAGTACTGGGTCCCTACCTGTCTACATAGTTACCGTGAGTGTCGAACAACGTATGCTGCATTCTGGGGACGTTTATGTGTGTCGGTATGTTTAACGCCAAAGTGACATGCGGATAGAATTATAGATAACCAAGCGTGGGTGCAAAGTGTGATATGTATATGTGATTCCGTTCTTTTGGCCGGGGCAACGTTGTTGCCCAACGCCTATCTCTAACAGTCCGCGCCTGCGCGCTCTCGCTCCTCACACCGACTGCATTTCAACCCATCTGCGTATAAACTTGTGATTAACAAATCATAATACTTCACATGCACTTAATCTCAACAATTTCTTCATCATCGATGCGATGGTAGTCCCATGTCCTGGCCGTCTGCGGCAGTACTCCCGCAAGCGTTTCCTATTTCCACACATATTTCATTGAAATGGTTTGCTGTATACGCTTGAAAAGCACACCATTATTTGTGTCATATTATTATACGTAATCGGATCATGGGCAGTATGCACCTGCCAGTAAAATTTTATTCATCGCACGAAAATGTCCGATGTTCCGGCTGCTCCACAGCGTTGCGTTCCACGGCTAGCGGACGCGCCGCATCGAAGTCTTGGCATCAGTGACGTACCTACCTCATACGGAGCGGTGGAAAACCTGACAAGAAGTAAAGCTGATGCACGGCATTTCTATGGGCCGCGTTCTCAGCTGACAGCCGCGGCGCCTGTTCATACGCAGGGTTAATGGAGGCTTGGTGAGGGACAGATGTCGTGAATACGACACTTGTTAACATTTTATTGGACCAAGAGCGTTATGATGGTGGTAGAGAATTTTTGAAATGTCTGGTGCATGTACTGATACCATTATTGTATGGTTTGCTTGCTGGATTTAGCTGACGCGATTGTTGAGATCTGGATTGTGGTCGGATAAGTTACAGAGGCTCAAAGTCTGGATGTTGAATTGGTGACTCAACCATGAAGATTCACACATGATGCAGAAATAGGTGAGGTAGGATGTAGCTGTAGGCGTCCAGGTTCTGTGGAGCCTGAAAGACATGGTGACATCTGACCAGTAAGAGCCACAAGGGCCCATTGAGGTTGTCCTACCTCAGGTTCTGCACACATCCTCAAAACTATTCTTGCTACCCAACCAGCCCATATTTAGCTTTAAATGAGATCTTTGAACCAATATAACTAGTCCAAACAGTTTTAGATCACTTCATATATCCTGTTCATCATCTTGAATGTCTCCATCAGATCCCCTCTAAGTCTACTATCATTCAATGAGTACATGCCCCAGGCCCTAGGCCTCTTATAGTCTAAGTTCACAATTTCATTTATAATCATAGTTGCCTTTTACCATGCTCTGTCCATGCTATACAAACCTGAGGTGGCCTTGAATAGAACTGTATGTGCCAGAGTTTCTTCTTTTTTTTTTGTTGTAGCAAATGTGCTCTTAGCAGCCTTAACCACTGATAATTTGAATGTAATCCCTTCCTGTTATGTTATCATTATGTTATCATTATGTTATATAGGGATATGTTTTGGAAGAATTGGGATTAAGCCTGTGTGCAATACCCTAGGTGTGGTCTGATGTAAGCTAGGTGCAACTTCTTGACATCATTTCTGCTCTTGTAATGGACAACCTTCATAAGTCCCAGCATCTGAAGTGCTTTGCTTATAGCAGCCATTCATTGCTTCTCAGCCTTTAAAATCCCTGTAAATTATGACCCCTAAGTCCTTTTCTCACTTGATCTGCCATAGATCCTGGCCTCTTATATCATTAACAAATTTGGGCACCTTTCAGTCTAATCCTATCTCAATATTATCAATAGGAATAACAGAAAGGAAAGGGCTTGGCACCAAACCCTGTCAAAACCCACTATCTACTACCTTTCAATGAGATTTTGTGTCATTGAACTGTACTCTTTGTTTCCTGTCTAGCAGTCAACCCTTTATCCAGCCAAGGGCTTTTCCTCAATGCCATGCAATTTTGATTGATATAGCAGGCTCTGGTGTGGTGCCTTATCAAGCACCTTACTAAGATATAGACAAACAACATCTAAACTATTGTCTTAATATATCTGACTTGTAACGTTTGGTGGATTATGTTTGGTGGCTTAAGTGAGGTGGGATTTGGATGGCATAGGATAATCTGAAAGGAAAGTATTTGTTTGGTCTGTGTAGTGCACATTATCAGGTGGTAATGGGGAGTACATGACCATTGTAGTTGGTGTGCCCTAAGGCCAAATTGTCATCATCAGGATCAAATGGTAGTAAAAAATTCACATGAAATAGTGGAAAAGGGGTGAAAATTATTGCTCATAGGGTGTTATTCTGCACCCAGTGTCAGCAACTTGAGGACACTGCTTAATCACCATGGCTGCAATCAGAATACTTTCAGTGATGGAGTGTTTGGATTGGTGGCATCCACACTGGAATGAGAATGGAGTCCAGAGTGCATGAAAGGCTCATGTCCATTCTGTTGGGGCAAAGGAACTGTCAACAGGATCTGTGGTGTTAGGTGGCACCTGCATCTGGAGACACTCTTCGGCGCTGTCGGATGCGGAGTCATATTAAAGCCTTTTTTATAGCCTTATTTGATAGCCTTTTATTGCCTTTTTTATTTGGTATTTTATTTGATTTAGTATTTTATAGCCTTTGTTTGCAGATTTAGCTTAAAGTAAAGTGAAATGAACCAATTATGTCCCTCCCTCAATATAGCATACCAGTCAATAGTAGGCAATGTAGAAAAGTAATAGCATACCTACTTACATCCAGTCAGTTGCCTTTGGAAAATTGGGAACTGGTAGCCTTGGAACACTACCTGCTATGGATGAATTTGTAAATATCAGATTTATACAGATTTGTGAAGGCAGTTGGTTCGTCCTCCAGTTCAAAGCATACATACTATGACTGTGGAATGAGATGGCCGTGTAAGCTCTCCCTGATGGTATGTTTGAAGTGATATCAGAGCTATCAACAGTGAGCCTGTATAATTTCTGCACAGCAGCACCTGCAGAAAATTCCACCTGGCTCAGCATGGATGTGATGAAGAAGCTGCTGTCTTCGCCTGTGACGCGGGATCGCCGGTTTCCTGCGGTGATGCTGCTCCTTGTCAGCAACACTGTCTGCCTCACACTTCTTCTGCACTGGTGTCGTACTTCTAACAGCATGGGTATGTGGACATGAGAACATATGTCTGTGACTTGCAGTTATTGGCAACAGTGTTACTAAAGAAATGATACAACAGCATTACTTAATGGTCTGCAGGATTCGTCTGTAGTGCTATTTCAAGGTCCTAGCACGCTGTCATGGCAGATGTTGTGTTGCCCCACTGGCTCTGACCTGGTCGTTCGAAGCCACCGCCCATCGGGTGTGCTTCGGCCGGTGGGTCCCGCGCCCAGCGATCCACGGCCGCGACCGGGACGGCAGCCATTACCGGTGCCGTTTCCGGCCGTGGTCTGACCCCAGACGGCCGCCGACAGTGCTGCTGGCCTATACGTCGCTCAGCTACTTCCACCTGCTGTCGCTGCTCACCACACTGCTCAGCATCTGGGTGGGCAGCCGGCGGCCGGAGCTGCGTATGTCGTTCGGCTACGAGCGCTGCGAGGCGCTGGCCGTGTTCAGCAGCACCGTGCTGACGCAACTGGCCGCCCTCTTCGTCGCCATGAGCTGCGCCGAGCGGCTCTTCTACCCGCCAGATGTTGTCACGTGAGTCCCCGGCGCCAGCACGGCAGTCCCCGGTGTCGTCATGTGGGCCCCTGACACCACCATATCAGTCCCCACTGTTGTCACACGAATCCCTGGTGTCGCTGCGTGGGTCCCTGGTCCTGTGGGCGGGAGAGTTTATTCAGGATTGGATGTAAGGGCTTTCTAAAAATCCATCCCCCTGAATTTCATCCCCATTCGGTTGTGCAAATCCTCATGGAGCAGAATAAGCTAGGCACCAAATTCTACCAAATTTTGGTGTGTGTGGAAGGGGGGGGGGGGGGCTGGAGCCTCAGGACCTCCCACGCAATGCGATAGTTCCCATGTTTATGCGTCACTGTCGTCACGTCAGTCCATGGAGACACCATGATATCCATGGTGTCTCCACGTCATCCCATGGTGTCGTAACGTCATCCAACGGTGCCGTTACGTCAGTCGGTGGTATTTTTTCGACGGGTATCATCGCTGTAGGAGTTTTGGTTCCGTGCTGAAATGTTTCGCGCAACATAACGTTTATACATTTATCGATTATTTTTTTTTTTATCAGTCACAGCTTTCCTGTATGTCTGATGGAAATGGTAGGTTTCGCACACTTTGGTAACCCAGTCACGTGCTACAATTACACAAGCGAGCCATCTTGGGTCTGAATTTAAACATTCTCGGGTGTCTGCGCATACCCTCTTCGACTTCACATGGTTTCACACCTTTCCACGTGGTCTAACATGCTTTTGACGCGCATCCGACGCACGAGAGAACGCCCGTGTGAGCAAATCTTAACGTCGAAAGCGACAAAACCATTTTGTACGCCAAAGTCATGTATTTACGTAATTATATTGATTAATAGGTTTCATCTGGGAGATGGTACTCGCCAGTTATGTGCATTTCCTGCTCTGGGTAACTGGCGCAGTTCGATACCATTCACTTCACAGGAGACGCGTATGCCAAAAAAAAAAAAATGCTGGGAAAGCACCGCAAAAAAAGAATTATGTGAAATTGCACATACAAAGCATGGTGGCGTGGCGCTTGGGCGAACGAAGAAATGCAACACGAAGAACGACCCATACAAATGTGCTTGAAGAAATCCAGGGAAATTGTTGTGTGGAGAAATGCTGTTCGAATGAATAGGATATGAAGGCTTGAGTACGTACATTCGTTGTGAACAAATTTGATACGAACTTTTACTCTGTCATAGTGTGCGGCGTCGTTTTCCATTGTGTCAGGACCGACTGTTGTGCAGCCCCCCCGCCCCTCCCCCCCCCCCACACACGCTCTGTGGGGTGTGTCATGACCGACTGATGTACAGCTTCCCCCCCCCCCCCTCCTTACACTCCGCGCGGTGTGTCAGGACCGACTGGTCTACAGTCCTCACCCTCACACTGTGTGAGGTGTGTCAGGGGCCGACTGGTGTACAGCCCTCTCCTCACTCTCTGTCCCATGTGTCAGGGGCTGACTGGTGTACAGCCCTCTCCTCACTCTCTGTCCCATGTGTCAGGGGCCAACTGGTGTACAGTCCTCCCCTCATTCTCTGCCCTGTGTGTCAGGGGCCGACTGGTGTACAGCCCTCTCCTCACTCTCTGTCCCGTGTGTCAGGGGCCGACTGGTGTACAGCCCTCTCCTCACTCTCTGTCCCATGTGTCAGGGGCTGACTGGTGTACAGCCCTCTCCTCACTCTCTGTCCTATGTGCCAGGGGCTGACTGGTGTACAGCCCTCTCCTCACTCTCTGTCCCGTGTGTCAGGGGCCGACTGGTGTACAGCCCTCTCCTCACTCTCTGTCCTATGTGCCAGGGGCTGACTGGTGTACAGCCCTCTCCTCACTCTCTGTCCCGTGTGTCAGGGGCCGACTGGTGTACAGCCCTCTCCTCACTCTCTGTCCCATGTGTCAGGGGCTGACTGGTGCACAGCCCTCTCCTCACTCTCTGTCCCATGTGTCAGGGGCTGACTGGTGTACAGCCCTCTCCTCACTCTCTGTCCCATGTGTCAGGGGCTGACTGGTGCACAGCCCTCTCCTCACTCTCTGTCCTATGTGCCAGGGGCCGACTGGTTTACAGTCCTCTCCTCACTCTCTGTCCCGTGTGTCAGGGGCTGACTGGTGTACAGCCCTCTCCTCACTCTCTGTCCTATGTGCCAGGGGCCGACTGGTGTACAGCCCTCTCCTCATTCTCTGTCCTGTGTGTCAGGGGCTGACTGGTGTACAGCCCTCTCCTCACTCTCTGTCCTATGTGCCAGGGGCCGACTGGTGTACAGCCCTCTCCTCACTCTCTGTCCCGTGTGTCAGGGGCCGACTGGTGTACAGCCCTCACCTCACTCTCTGTCCTATGTGCCAGGGGCCGACTGGTGCTGGGCGCCGCCACCGGCCTGTTCTCACACGTGCTGCTGGTGTACGCCGGCCGGAACCGCACGCTGGAGCACGTGATCCAGGTGTCGCCCTCCAGCTGGCTGCAAGAGCAGTTCGCCGATGTCTGCCACAGGTGCGTCGAGACTTCCCAGACTGCCCCCTCCCCCCCCCCCCCCCCCCGGCCGGTCGTTGGCATCTGGTGACGTGTCCTGCCTCTGACCGGCCGTCGGCCTCTGGTGACATGTCCTGCCTCCGACCGGCCGTCGGCCTCTGGTGACATGTCCTGCCTCTGACCGGCCGTCGGCCTCTGGTGACATGTCCTGCCTTTGACCAGCCGTCGGCCTCTGGTGACATGTCCTACCTCTGACCGGCCGTCGGCCTCTGGTGACATGCCCTACCTCTGACCGGCCGTCGGCCTCTGGTGACATGTCCCGCCTTTGACCAGCCGTCGGGCTTTGGTGACATGTCCTGTCTTTGACCAGCCGTCGGCCTCTGGTGACATGTCCCGCCTCTGACCAGTCGTTGCCCTGGTGACATGTCCCGCCTCTGACCAGCCGTTGCCCTGGTGACATGTCCTGTTTTTGACCAGCCGTCGGCCTCTGGTGACATGTCCTGCCTCTGACCAGCCGTTGCCCTGGTGACATGCCTCTCCTCTGATTCGCCGTTGACAGCCTATGCTCGCTTGTGCCCGGCCTGGGCCGGCTGATGGTGCCACGGGTGCACGCGCTGCTGCTGCTGTCGACCGCCGGCGGCGCGCTGGTCTGCCTGACTGACCTGATCATCGAGACGCGCCGCTACCACCTGCTGGACCCGGTGGCCGGCCTCTGCCTCTCGGCCTGCGTGTGCGGCACCATGCTGCCACTTTGCGTCAACGTCGCCAAGTCGCTGCTGCAGGTGCGCCGCGGTCAGCGAGGCCGCCCGGCCAGTGTGCCTGGCAGCCGCCGCTCCGGCCGGGCTTGTGCTGAAAGTCGTCAGATCTGCTTTATAGCTTACGCATTAGTAACTGCAATAGATAGTTCTAGGGATTTTTCCTCATGGAGACCCGTGACCATGATCACAGCTTAAAACGTCGAAACGCCCAGCTGATGAGGATGTTGTCAAAGTTCTATTTTTTTTCTCCCACGATAAATTGTCCGCATTGTTTTATGAAAATGTGAGAAAGAAACATACCAATCGCAAATACAGATAGATATTTGATCTGTCCTTCCTGATTGTGAGCAATTGCTTGTTTTGTTGGATATAAACCCAGGTTTTGTGTTCGGCCTCTATAACGTATCTTGCGCTTGTGTTTTTCGTCCATATTTGGCGCTTGTGCTGGCAGACCACGCCGTCCCACGTGGTCTCACAGCTGGATAAGTGTTTGCGGGAGGCGCTGACTCTGGACGGTGTGCTGGAGTTTCGTCACGAGCATTTCTGGACGCTCTCCACTGGGGTGCTGGTGAGTCACTGTCGGGGGCCCGCCGCATGGGTCGCCTGTGCGATGTCGGTCCCTGCCTACAACTGCACGCCGTGTGGCTTGAACCCGGCTGCTACGGTTATTCAAAGCAGTGGTCCCCGTGCGATATTTTTTCAATGTTTGTATTTAGTATAGATGCTGTCATTTTTTGTTTAACGTGGAAGTGCCCTGTGTAAGCATTTGAAGAGTGAGGGAGGGCTTTTACTGGTCACCTGAAGTACACATATTTGAAGAGTGAGGGAAGGCTTCTACTGGTCACCTGAAGTATACACATTTGAAGAGTGAGGGAAGGCTTCTACTGGTCACGTGAAGTACACACATTTGAAGAGTGAGGGAAGGCTTCTACTGGTCACCTGAAGTACACACATTTGAAGAGTGAGGGAAGGCTTTTACTGGTCACCTGAAGTACACACATTTGAAGAGTGAGGGAAGGCTTCTACTGGTCACCTGAAGTACACACATTTGAAGAGTGAGGGAAGGCTTTTACTGGTCACCTGAAGTACACACATTTGAAGAGTGAGGGAAGGCTTCTACTGGTCACCTGAAGTACACACATTTATGTTGCTGCTTGTGACGTGTTGTACATTACAAAAGCAAGGTTGCTACCAGCGATACGCTTCCGCTCAGTCTTGTAGGCTGGAAATGCACGTCCGTGAACGACAGGTTCCCTGATTTGCAGGCGGGGTCTTTGCACGTACGCGTGCGGCGCGACGCCAACGAGCAGGAGGTGTTGTCACAGGTGTCCGCCAGGTTCACTAGTCTCGTGCACATCCTGACTGTACAGGTACGTATAGCCCGGTCAGCACACGGCAGCTACACGCCGTCATACTTGTCAGACTTGCAGCGTGTGGCCCTGTCAATGTCAGACTTAACATCCGACGAAGGCTGGAGAGCTAGTTTTGCGAATCATTGCGTGCGTACCAGCAGATCAGAGGGGCGCGATGGTCTGAAAATGTTCCGTCTGCAATGATCACACCTTGCCCCAAGTGTTCCCCAACGTGCGTTTCGTTTGCCACGCTCCTATACAGTTCAAAGTACTTAAAGTGCTACACATACATTTGTAGACCGGAGCCGCGCTGGAGCCGTAAATTCAATGCATTTCAACTGTAGTGTCGGCGGCAGGTGTTCAAGGACGACTGGACGCGCAGCCAGGCGACGCTGCAGCTGCTGACGTCCTCGGCGCTGACGCTGGGCGAGGCCCAGTACGCCTCGCCCAGTTACGCCTCGCCACGGCTCAACAACGATTTCTCCCACTTGAGCTTTTCGCCTGTGGAGGCGGCGCCCAAGCCGGGCGCCACAGTTGTGGGTGCCGCCAACGGCGCGCCGGCGCGGACCTCGCGCGGCGCCGGCGACTCGCAGCGGGTGTACCTCAGCGCCTTGGATGAGCACCCGCCGCCGCCGCCGACGCCGGCGGTCGGACGTCTGGCGCACCACGTTGGCGGGCCCGGCCGGCAGCAGTGGCCGTCGGCGGCGGCGGACCCGCAGTGGCCGCCGATGGTGCCGGCGCGGCCCCCGCTGCCGGCCGGCTATCGGTGAGGGTGGCAGGTGGCCAGGCCCGGCCTCTCACTCTCTCCGCCTGAGAGCAGCCCGATCGTCCCGGGGCGTGCACGCCGACGGGCGCAGCGGACTTGTGGCAGCATGCTCTCTGCTGACGCCCGCAGCAGCCCATCGCCAGCCAGCCACCAAAACAGTGTGCCGCAGCGGCGCGGCTATCTGGTTTGTGATTCAGGCCCGGCGCGGTTATTTTGGGGGCCAGTGAGGGGCATGCTGAATGAGACACGAACGCCTTTCCAGTGAAGTGGTAATTGTTAAACTGTGTTGTCGAGCTCCCATGCTCATTTAGTGGAATTGCTGTCGGTGTTGTGTTTGCAACGGTCATATGTATTTATGGGTCGGAGACACGCGTTGTCTTCGTGTGGGTGCCGAAGGGCATGGCTTATCTCCATGTCATGCACGAGAGTGTTGAAGTCCGTCGCCGAACCATACCAGCTTGCCTATTATCCGTTTGTGCTATTACTTACATTTGTGGGGCCCTTCTCCGAATCTGTCAGAAGCTGTCGCAAATTGTCTTCCAGCCAAATTATTATATTTTGACCGCCTCGATCTTATCTGTAGGTCACCTTGCTCCGGCAAATCTGTACAAGGGTAGGCTGTTCAGGGCAGATGCGAGAAACGCGTTCACCTACATATGCATGTATGCATAAGAGCTAGTACTATTGGCCGTATTCCTCGACGACAAATAAGTGGGGGAAAGGAATGTATTGGTCTTTTGACTGCAAGCCTTTATCGAAGCATTTTTGAGCAGCTCATTTGTAGTAGACCATAGTTCTAATCCAGCTCTAATTATTGCTGCTCACTATTGTTTCCACAAAGGTTTGTCGCCGACTTATCCGTGCGTTTATCTCTCTCCAAATTTCAATGAGGAATACGGCGAATGGTGCTGTTTTTATCTATACAAGGATATTTTGCCGACTCCCCACGTATGCTGGTAAGGTGATACGGCTGATGCACAACATCAGCAGGGGAGGTGCATGCGTGGGCGATTTCCTGCGCGACTTGCCGACTGGCTTCCACCGCTCTATAACTTTTCACTCGGTTTGCACGCGCGGCCTGTGCTTCCGGTGCTCCTCGTGAGGACGGCTCGGCAGCTCCCATTATGAAGTGACACTCAGCCTAGCTAACCACCAAGAGGCCCCGAGGTTGCTGCGGCCGCGGCCCGTCTCAATTTTTGATCACTACATAACCATGTACTGTCAGCGGGCGTCGAAAGACCGGTCCTGTTTGATCACTCTGTGTCCACGTACTGCCAGTGTGCGTCGTGAGACCGGCCGTGCCTGCGGTGTCATACACGCAGCTACCTGTGCCAGCAGCTGACGACAGAGGGGTCCTGTGTGCTGGTGGCAGCGCGCCGCGGGTCACAACTCTGATGTCGTTTCAGTGTGATGGCCTCGTTTCATGGGCTTAAAATGACGTCGAGCTTTGGCTTTATAGTTATAGTTATTGTTAATCAAAATGCCTAGACGCCGAATTGACAGGAGCCAACGCCCAACGCGCGAAAGTGCTGGTAAGCACTGGTGAAGGTGCTAGTCAAGGCTCGGGGCACGTGATGAGCCGTCAGCATGGTTTGGTATCCATTGTTAAACGCTGTCTGTTGTGGAAAATAACTTGTTTTTCGTGCGAAGGGTGGTTCCATTGATTTGCATCAGGAACACCGTGCGAAATCTGGTCAGACCGACACCGTGTTGATGTCGACCGTCGCCTGCTCGATGGTTGTTCGTTTGCTTTAGACGGGTCTCTTCGGTGCAGTGAACGGATAGCTGCCGGTAGTGGTGGCGGGAATGGCGACGGGACGGCTGGGGACGGGCTGCGTCACGCTTGCCATCTCCGCGCTCTGTGGGCTCGGCGGCTGGGGACGACTGCAGCTGGGCGACGCGTGGTGAGCTGACGGCTGGCAGCGGCCTCTCCGTTTCAAGTGCTGGTGAGCCGGGCAGCTGCCTCCGTCCGCTTCAAGCACTGCTGAGCCAGTCAGCGGCCTCAGCCCGTCCAAAGCGTGGTGATCAAGTCGTCAGGGCGGCCGCGTGGCATTGGATTGCCTCACTTTCCTGGCTCGGTCTGTGTGTGGTGTTTGAAATGTGAGTGCCGAACTGATGGGTTTGTAATAATATGATGAAGGGATCTGCGCATTTATCAGAACGCCTGCTTCCGTTGCCATTAAACGTGGGGCATTGACGCGGCATCGTCCCTTCGCTTTCTTTCGCAGTCGATCAGATCTTCTGGACAACGGCAAGGATGTGCAGTATGATGGAGTGAAAACTACCTTTTGCGGCAGCGCAAGTTGCTTGGAATAAAACAACGCGTGCGCGCGGACCCATGTTCATCTAGAAGCAGGGCAAAAAATATTAAATATCTTGGTTAGAACGCGCGTATTGTCTCAGGCAGAAGTTTAACGCACTCATGTCTTGAAGTCATCATTCGTCTTTTAACTGGCGTGCGGTTATCGTTCACTGTATATGCGTGTTGTTTCGTTGTGCGGTCAGTGCCTGGAGTTCACGGACAGGAGAGGATCACGGAGTCGTCTATAGAATCGTGTACGGAATAGAATCGTCCTTATGGACAATTGGCATATCCCCTTAGGCTTAACACGGCATCCAGCATGAGCAACATTCTCTTTATAAGAGGTGATACAGTCTGGAAAGTTCTGGTCGCTGTAACGGAAAAAGGAGACAATATGGCAAGTTATTTGGTATCAGTAGCGCCACAAGAAACAAAACGCAAAAAAGCAGGGAAAAACAAGAGGCTTCCAAATAGCATGTTGAAATCAGGCTTGATTACTATGCATATATGTAATCGGCAAAAATCAATATAAATCGATGTAATCACAATTTTCACAAGAATCGTAAGATGTAATGATAAAGAGTCGATGTGATCATAATCAATAGTGATAATGCATATATGTAAAGATAGTAAAGATAATAATGTGATCGACATAGGCCATTCGCTTAACTTAGCGAAGGTGATATCGTGTATGAGGACGACAGATCTCAGACCGCACGGCTGCGCGTCACGCAGCCTGACAGCTCGCTGGCCGTGGTTGGGGATAATGACGCGCATGCAGTGGGGCTAGGATCGGTCGGCTCCGCTGTCAAGACCGGCCACAACAGCGCGGTGAGCAGGCGATTCGAACTGAGCGTGGGTCGTTCACTTCGGTAAATCATATGCGGTATCCACAGCTGTCTGGATACGATATGTGTCGTCCAGCGTCGACAAACACAAGGGACCAGCCACGCCGGGCGCGGGCCGCGGGAATCACTGCCGGCCCGTCCCACCTGAGGGGCCGGGCGGCCGGCGTGGCTGGGGCGAGGCTAGGCGTCACTCATTTTGGCCGACTTATTCACGAATCATTCCAACAAGTGTCTTATTGTTTGATTCCATACAATTACAATAGTAGTATGAGTGCCATATTAAAACATGCCAACCACGCTACCACGTTCGCTCCTTATCAACCATCCCGCCGTTTCTACAGCCCCGTCGAAAACAAAGTCTCATCAAAATTCAAATCGTCAAATCGTTGACACATGTAAAACAACGGCAAGCAAGCAATGATTACACAACGGGGTCGTCTATATCGTCCGGTCTGGTGCGAAGCCCTTTGCGGGTGCGAGAGGCGGTCATGGTCTGCGGTAGCGGCTCCAGGGTGAGGCCGCGCCATACGAAAAAACCCGGTGTGCAAGTGACGGGCGAGAAGCTGGCTGATCGAGGGCGCCCGCCGCTGCCGCCCGGGTGGCACGCTGACACAGGGCAGTACCTTGGGTGAACAGGGACCGGATCGCCACCAGAGCCCGCCAGTGATGAAGGGCCCTGAATACAGCAAGGTCGTCATAGAGGGATGGCCATCCCACTAAACACTATGATACGCGATGTTATGAAAGCCCCAGCAAGCAGCCATCCCACTAAACACTATGACACATCATGCTATGAAAGCCCCAGCAAGCTGCATTTGTATGATTCTTTGCTGAATTGATTCCAGGGCAACATTGTTGGTGAGTGGCACACATAAATGGTTGGAAATGTCTGACTTAAGGAATACGGCTTGAAAAGCCGCGATTTTCTTCCATGAGCGGCGCTGAAACCAGAATTGTGGATCAACACTAAGGGGTCGTCATATGACAATGTAGTCGCAGCGCCCGAAATCTTGAAAAGTCGACCAACTTCGCTAGCACGGCCTGCTACGCATGTGTGTCAAGACAGCCTACGGACAGCCCACGGACAGCCCACGGTCGGCCCACGGTCGGCCCATTCAAGCGGCCCCTTCAAAAATGTTCAAAATGTGATATTTAACGGTCTGTATGAGGTGAACACATCGATACGCTTCGATGCGTGGGGAACACAGAATTTCAGTTCCTACAGCTAGTTTTACACAACTCACTTCCAATCAGCCCATCAGTCAATGCTCGCCAAATCAAGCGCCTCATAGATTTAAAACGAGTGTCTCTGTCCCATTTAGTCAACAGTGCGACATTTTTTTAAATGGCGGAACTTCAGCAAAATTCAAGCAAAGTTAGCTTTCACCCCAGTTACACCTCTACCCACGCTGAGCCTACGGTCAGCCAATACGGGGAGGTAATTTTCAGATAGATCTTCACTGACCATGTCACACGTATGTTTCCTGGCATATCTCACCAAAAATCAAATCGTGTCGAGTATGGTAGTTTGGCACCTCAAGCAACTCGGCATGACAAGCTCATCCCAAATATTTGCTTTGTTTTCTATATGCATTTTTGGTTTCTAAGTTACAGTGATGTAAAATCAATTTCTCACCTAGTGCATTATTTCCCAAAGATATCAACACGCGAGTCCATGGGACTCATTTCGTTGGCCCCTTCGATTTTACTGATTCTCAGGCTAACTGTAACTGTACATTTGACGCATCACTTCCGTTGAAAATTAGGCCGGGAAAACAGGCTCTCGCCCACAAACTAGAGGCGAGATATCTCACTAAAACTAACACTTCACCGCATATGGTCGTGTGACGCCTAAACCAACTCGGCATGACAAGCTGATTTGAAAGCCGGGCTTTGTTGTTTCTTTGCATTTCTCTTTCTGGAGCTAAAGTAGTGTAAACTCAGTCTGCCACCTAATGCTGTTTCCCATGGTGTATATAATGTGTGTGTGTGTGTGTGTGTGTGTGTGTGTGTGTGTGTGTGTGTGTGTGCGTGTGCGTGTGCGTGCGCGTGCGCGCGTGTGTGTGTGTGTGTGTGTGTGTGTGTGTGTGTGCGTCTGCGTGCCCAGTGTATAATAACGTTCGAATCAATTTCGATATCCGGACATCTTACACATCAGTTCCGATGAAAGTTAGGCGAGGGAAACAGGTTCTCACCAATCAACTGGAGGTGAAATATCTCGCTTAAAATCAGGTCTTACCGAATATGGTCGTGTGGCACTGTGGTGATGGGTCATGCCCTGAGGCGGTGCTTCACAATGCAGGCTGAGGTGAAGACTCATGGCCCGGGGCCATGCGTCACGTCGTAGGCACGCAGAGCACGCAGGGATGGGCACGTAGGCACGCAGAGCACGCAGAGGCCGCAGGGTGGCGCCAGCCGGTCGCCCGCGGTTGGTGTTGCGTGTGTGAGTCATGAGAGGGCATCCGTGAGACGCTGCTCGGGCGCGCAGTGTAACTCCCTGTTTTTTGCGTCTGCTGTCGTCCATCGTGGCGTCGGAGGTGGTCGGGGCCGGGCAGAAATTCTTGTTATAATTTAACACAGGCACCTCAAACAACTCGGCATGACAAACTGATGACGGATCTTGGCTTTGTCTTCGATGCGAATCTCTGGTCGCTGAGTAACAGTAATGTAAAATCCGTTTTCCATCTCAACCTTTATTTTCCCTAGGGATCAGCATGGGTATCAATGGGACAAACTGCGCCGGCCTTAACCATTTTCTTGATGATCAGGTTAACTGAAGCCGGACATCAATGCATTTCATCGGAGAATTTACCTAAATTGACTAACTGGCCATGACGTGCAGGTGCTGATTGTATCATGAGTCGCTCATGTTTCATATCATCGTATGTGTATCGCTGGTGCTGCGTCTCATTTGCATGTGTTGCGTGTTTTGTGTTTATCTATTTAGTATGTACTGGCCGGCGTTAGAATAACCACTCGCTGGGTTTCGCCGGGGTTCGTGATAATAATAATAATAGTAATAATAATAATAATAATAATAATCTGACGCATCGCTTCCCACGAACATTAATCCGGGTAAACCAGGCTCTCATCCAAAAACTTAAGGTGAGATATCTCACCCAAAGTAGCGTCTCATCGAATATGGTCGTGTTGCACCTCAAACGGCTCGACTTGACAAGCTCATTTCGAATCGGGGCTTTTTTTATTGCATTTTTGGTTTCGAAGATACAGTGATGTAAGAACAGGGTTCAAATTAATTGGCAGGGTTCATAACATAACAGGGTTCACCTGATGTTTTATTTTTCCATAGCGATTAACAGGGGAGTCAATGCTACGGATTTCGTCTGCCCGCACACTTTCCCTGATTTTTAGATTAACGGTGGCTGGGCGTTCCATAGGACGAGGTGATTCTAAATGCAAGCACCAGTTACAAATAGTGATGCATTTCTTTTGTACGCCTTCTGCTATACGCTTCGATAAAGGCTTAATGCAGGAATATCAACGCATCTATATCGCCATTCTCCTGGCTTTCTCCGGGAAATAAGGTTATTTTTACTACCTTATTTCGGCACATGCCATATTACTGGCTCATGGTATTATTATTTTACTTGTCAGCCTGAGACAAGATGATGGGGTCGGTACCGGTGTATCGCAGCCACTATCGACTTCGCTGACATGAACGCCACGCGGGCATTGTACTAGAATGTTAACGGGGAGGCCTCGAAGTGTGGCACCGCGACAAACGTGATGGAAACCAGAATTAAAACGTGACATCACCCGAGGAACAGCAACACATGTCTCTACGCCTGCACTCATGGATAACTATCATGGATGTCATATCATGCACTAATGGATAACTATCACGGCCTTGCTGTGTAACATATGCCACGGTACAAGTATCAGAATGATCTCGATCTCTGTATGACTCCATGCATCACGAGTGACTTACGGCACTTAGTGTCACACGCTCAACTATGGTCATCTTTCTAAAGCCTCAAAGGTTCCGGCGTATCACAAACGGCATGAACTGAAAAGCGTATCAACAGGATTCTGGGCGGCTTCAAGGGGAAGCGCCCACAGCCAGAGGAAAAGCTGGTGATCATGGTGTATCACCAGCGGATCTCGCGCAAATTATGTGTTACAGTGCACAAGGTGCGGATCACGCAGCTTACCTACTACAGTCTTAACTACGTTAGCCATGCGATGCTGCAAAGCTCCTAGCGTATCACGCCCTGCATGGTCTGCGTGCCTGCAACGTGATACGCCGCCCGGAACAACTTTCATGGGAACTGATGTGTAAGATAACCGGCTACTGTTGATCTAAATTGACTCGAACGTTATTATACAATGGGCACCCCCCCCCCCCACATACTCGCGCGCGCCCACACACACACACACGCACGCACGCACGCACGCACGCACGCACGCCGCACGCACGCACGCACGCACGCACGCACGCACACACGCACACACACACACACACACACACACACACACACACACACATATATATATATATATATATATATATATATATATATATATATATATACATATATAAGTGTAGAATGATCCATTTGGATAGTTTTGGCAATACGGGCATTAATTTTAAGGTGCGAAGCCGGGAGTGGAACCATATCGAGAGAGTAAAAGACTTAGGGGTTATAATTCTAGGGACTTATGGGGTGTAAAACAATGTGGGGTTGCTAGGGGCAAGGCACTTTGGATGCTTTAACTTATAAGGAGAATGCTCATTACAACAGTATGAATGTTGTCGAAAAGTTGCGCTTAGTTTACGTGAGGCTACGCCTAGAATATATTGCACAAGCTCGGTCCTCACGCCTCCAAAAGATGTAGATAGACTGGAAAGAGTACAGCGAAAAGCAACTACGATGATAGATGGGATTGGTAACATAGAGTGTAGGGATAGTCCTTGGATCTTTTTTAATGAAATATCGTCAACTTACAGGGAATCTGATAGAGACATTCAAGATTTGGAAAGGAACAGGCAAGCTAGATTTACATGGAGCACTGGAATTATACCCGAGACATACAGGAAACTAGCCTTATTTAACGAGAGGTAGGAGCAGAATTGGGGGCAGATTTGATCTGGTCAAAAAGGCAGGTTGCATATGGTCAAAACAGGCAGATTTCATTTCGTCAAAAAAGCAAATCGCTGGAATGAGCTGACAAACGAAGTTGCACAGCGTCCCTCTCGAGCAACAGTTACAATCCGTTTAGACAAGTGCTATCCGTCTTAAGATCGCATTTATTGCTAAAGCTACGCAGGTCAGGTGGTAATATAAGTTTCGAGGGAGTGTACGAAACCTGAGGTAGTTCAACCTCGATGGGCTCTTGTGGCTTGTTGTTGGCCAGATGTCCTTATGTCTGTATGCCTTTATTACGACCCTACGTGCCGCATTATGGCTAGATTATATATCCGAAGGAGTCTCTTTGTTTTTTACCTGGCATGCAATGTCTACATGTTAACACGTGCGACGTTGTCATCTCCAATGTTTGAATGTGTCAGGAAAAAGAAGGTTTGAATGTCAGTGTCATATTTGGTGGCTAGGTGGAGCCATACAAGACGGATGTTCGTGTCCAATTTCAACACAATTAAGGGAGTCCGATTTTGAGTGACCTTGATCCTCTGCGGTTCTTTACGGGCGTAATTTCGAATGTCACAGCAAGAATGTGTGATTTTCTTATTTGGGATGCTTTGTTCTATCAACAAACCAAATTTGGCCGAAAGGTGTGGAGGCCACGAATGTCCACTGAGAATTAGTCTTGAACGGCATTGGATTTTGACCTTTTATAGCTCCGTTATTTTTTTAGGTCACACTTGGTAACCTATAACTTCGTAAATGGTGGTATTAGCCAATTGGTAGTGAGCGAACTCTCATTCCAATTGGTGACCAGGCTGAACGTGATACGCGAATTTGTCATGTTGTCATATAGTAATTTTGCAAGGGGTTTATCTCCAAGGAGATGTAATGTATTTCTGGTTAGTTAATTTGCTGGATGCAGGTCACAACATACAACAAACACGCAGTATCTTACTGTACTTTAAAGTGAAGTAAACAATACTGTGCAAACCCTATTAACTCATGTTCAGGAGCAACTGCATGGCAATAGAACAAAACTTTGTGTATTATCTCCACAGTAGCGAGACAAACAGCAATTAAAACATTTAACAGTTAAAACAGTCAACAGTAAAAAATATTAATAGGCAAAACTAGCAGGATAGGGGATACGCAGTGCTTTTCTTTAAAATACGGAAGAGCTTGCGTGCATCTGGAACGCATTGCGCTCGGGTTTAGTGCTTTTTTACGTTAAGCCCCCTCCCCCTGCCTCTCACCTGTGAAATTTTGAGCATGTCCCTAGCGCCTTGCGTTTCGATTTATTCCATTTAGTGTATTTCAACCACGTGTAGTGGCACAGGACAATTCCAGCAAGTTTGTTGAATAATGCTCTCGTTAATCGTCAACTAAGTGGGCTAGCTTAACGTTCGTAGCCCCTGGGCGCTGAGAAATTCAAGGCCATCGCCCTTGTTGGAGCCTGAACTATGCCAAGCGCCGATGGCTGGCTGTCTGCCAGGAACAGCGCCAAGCATCTGCCCGACATGTGTTACACTAAGACATTCGCGAATAGCGACTGCCGTGGTGGAAGCGCCATCCATCTCCTAGCAAAAATGTGAAAAGTGCAGAAGTGCAGCGCAAAAACGGGTGTTGTCTGTGGGACGTGTTTTTTGTTGCTAGTTTTCATCCATACGTTTGTTTTCTGAGCTCGTCCGTCCGATCTCAGAAGCTATAACTTGGACCTCTTGGGCCAGCTGCTGGCGGCGGTAGACCAACGGGTTTTGTCCGATAGGATAGTCAGATTGGTATATATTGCTATTTTTCCTTCGGTGGCGTGGCTTTGACCTGACAAAGGGGTCTCTAGTAGAAAGCAGATGTAACTCGTTCTGGCGGCCTCCACTTGGTAAATTGCAGGAAACTTCAACGGTCGCGCAAAGCCAATTATAATGGTTTTTCTACAGGGCACAGCCCAAATTTTAAGATATTCATGGCTGTGGCCGATGTACATGACAAAAGACAGTAGCGTATTTATCATGTAGTTGTGGGTTGGGATTTGACATTAACGTGCATTTAAATCCTCGTTTGGAGAAAATATGTGGAGGGAATATCCATTATTCAGCATGTCTTCAATTTACGTAAGGCATTTTTCCTCGAAGAAAGGACTCTATATTGGCCATATGCTGATTATCAAGCACTCCCCGATTTAAGTCAAGCACTAAAACGTGATCTTGGGCTTTGGTGTCTGATAATTGAGTCGTAGCATTAATCAATTACTTGCTGGTTTTTCACCAGAACCCAGGTTATAAAGGACGTTGGCGAGTAGGGAGAGAGGAACGTTATCGCCTGGCAGAAACACAGGGCAAGGGTTTCAGGACATTATTTATGCAAATGGTGCATCATAAACACTACTTTACGGATTGTCAGGATTCAGGATCAGGATTCCGTCAGTGTCAGCGGAAGAATCTCATGCGACGTTACCTGGACGGATGGTAATATGGAAATATATGCATCTTTACAAGACGCTCAACGAAAAAAGGGACGTTACTGGACGTCTCCATGTGTTATGTCTACATCAATAATTTCAAACGTGAAGTCGGTGTTTTTATTCCCGTTCTGATATCAGCTATCGACACTTTTTAAAACTTTTTAAAAACCGCACACCCCATCAAGAACGGAATTTGGAACACTGAAAACCTGCTTCCAAAATACTCCAGTATAGGAACCCAGCAGCTTTTTCCTCGTGCATGCCGTATTAAAATGCTCATCGGGGTGCACCTCTCATTTATTATCATTGCTTATTGTCCTCATTAACTGATGCCGCCACTGCCATTCTTACCATGACCATCCAGCGGGATGCCACACTGAGGCAAGCTCTTCAGCTCAGGAAGGGCCTTCAGCATGGCTATCCAGTGCATAAGTGAGAAAGTTGGTCTGCGTGACGACTCCATGACCGCAAACCTCTGCAGCCACACCTCGAAGTCCTGCAGCATCCTCTCCACGTGCTGGACGTCGCCACTGCCCACCACGTTAACGAAGGCTTGCCAGGCGGGTTGCAGCTGGCCGCCGCTGACGCTGTAGCAGTCGTTGGTGGCGGCCGTGATGACGGCGGCCATGCTGGCGAGCCTGCCGGCCGAGGCGGCGGCAGCGGCGGCGGCAGAGAGCGGCCGCAGCGCCGGCACCACGAGCGTCACCAGCTGGCCGGCAAGCCGAGCAGCGGGGGGCGGCGACCGGCCTGGGCCCCGCCGCACCAGCAGCCGCAGACCGGCCCGACGCATTTCACTTTCGTCCAGCTGCAGTTGGGGCCCCAGCAGCCTCCGCAGCCGGTCCAGCGCAAGCGACGTGGCCGCCACCGTCGCCTTGCACAACTGCCCGTGCTGCAGGCAGAGCGGGTCGTCCGGCAGCCGCGCGGCTGCCGGATGCTGTCCTCGGCCGGGCTGCGGTGCCACAGAGCTGGTGGAGACGGGCTGCAGCGCGGCCAGCGCCAGCAGCAGGCGGAGGGTGGCTGGCGACGGCCGCATGTCGCCCGAGGACTCCGAGTATGCAGGTACGGCGCTGCGTCCCTCGGTGACTGCGTCAGTGGCCGTGGACCGCGTCACGGAGCGGCCGCCGGCTGTCAGCGTTAGAGCTGCAACTTTTTGATATGAAAGCCCCGCAAACTTAACTTTCAGGCCGGTGATGATATTTTGGATAAGTTAAGCCTATCTCCGCTGAGACGCAGTCACACTTACATGCATACCATAAACATGTATGAGGGAGGCCGATCATTGCCGAAATTCGAAATTACACCTCGGAGTGTGGGTCACCATGGACCCCTGTGACATAATGTACGTGCCGACCTAGGCAAGGAGTGAGTTTTGCTGCCTAAAATGACTGCGGGCTGCTGACTGAGATTACGACCTATATCATCTAATAACTGCAACTTATCGCTCCCCTGCAGCGTTTCGTTTTTATTTTGCAAGTGTTCAGGTGCACCATATCAGCAAAAACCAGTACGCACCTTACTCTTTGCACGAGTCGCTGCGAGATCAGATAAATCATTGTGTGCCTTGTCTCTTATCGACTTTTGGAAATGACTGTGAGGTCGATGCCAATTAGTAAGCATACCAGAGGCGACTTTGACTGTCAACAAACTATTCAGTCCAA